GGGAGTGGTTACATCATATAAGTGGGTACATTTTGGCACATTATCTGAAGGCCTGTTTTTAATGTTTGACGTTTTATTATGTTTTTATATTTCGCTGGAACCCAGTCAGATGGGCGGAGTATAAATAATATTACAGTCGTACCTTGGTTCTCAAACGGAATCTGTTCCGAAGTCCGTTTGACTTCCGAAAATGTTCAAAAACCAAGGGGCAGCTTCCGATTGGCTGCAGGAGCTTCCTGCACTCAATTGGAAGACGTGTCGGACATTCGGCTTCCAAAAAAACATTCACAAACCGGAACACTTACTTCCAGGTTTGCGGCATTCGGGTGCAAAACGTTTGAGTCACAAGGCATTTGAGAACCAAGATATGACTGTATTCTTATTATTATTATTATTATTATTATTATTATTATTACCATCAAGACGCTCTTGCACCATAGCATATTAAAACCGGGACTAAAAGGATTTGTAGTATAAAAAGTTGCAGATATTTAGCAGGAAACTTCAGGGCCCTGACCGAATGCAGCCAAAGCAGTATAATCACCCTGAAATATTTGCATGTGCAAATTGCATTGAAAGTGCCATCATGCATAAACAATTTGAGTCCATCACGAGCACAGGTGAGGATGAATGTGCAATAAGAAGGATGTCTGGAGGAGCCCTGAGATAATTGTGAACGCTTCAATATCAGAAACCAAAAAGACTGCGAGCTAAAACGGGATTTATAGCACAGTCCTAACAATGTTAAGTCCTGCTGAATTCAACAGCGCTCAAAAGTAAAGTAAGGTTCGTACTGCAACCTTATGGCTTTCGCATAGATCCGTATTTCCTAAAGTGTGGTACACATCGTCCCGGGGTATGCAAAAGGTTTTCAAAGGGGACATATTTCATTTATTGACTGAAAACAACAAACAGGTGGGAGCAGCCAGACTGGCTAATTTCACAGAAAACACTTAGAATGGTACCCTTATACATTTCTTTCTCGGAGAGCTAGTGGCTTACTTTAAATAATTTCTTTAAAAGCTCAGTTTAGGGCCTTTGCCATGAGGACATTTTCAGGCCCAGTCATTAGGTTGGTGACCCCTGAATTACAACACTTAAGAACAATTCCAGAACATACTGAGAAAGATATCGGCTTAAAGGTCTTGTTGGATGAGGGAGGTTTTCAGTAGACTCTGAACAGTAAGAGACAGTGCCTGTCTGATATAATACAGAATCATAGAATTGTATAGTTGGAAGGGACCCTCAGGATCATCTTAGTCGAAAATGCAGCTGTCCCATAGGATGGAGATCGAACCTGCAACCTTGGCATTACCAGCACTATGCTCTAACCAACTGAGCTATCCATGCACTAAAGGGAGGGGATTCCAACACTGTTGAGAGCTAAGTACCACTTAAATCAGTCTTACCATGAGGTGAGGGTACCTGGAAATGCCTAAGTATGCCAACAGTCCTAGATTAGCTTGCCCTTTCAGAAGAACTGGCTTGCCCCATGGATAAGTCCCCCTTACGTAGTCTGCCTTGGCACTTCTGCTAGCAGAATGTGGTGGCACCCAGACAAAGGTTTCGCAAGATCAACTTTCCCCATTTGGGTCAGGACCAGCAGCTTGTGGTTATAAAAAAGAAAACCCCATAAACCAGAAATGCCACAATTTAGGTAATAATAATAATAAAAAGATACAGAATCACAGAATCAAAAGGTAACCTAAGGGTGATCTGCAATGCAGGAACCTCAGCTAAAGAATCCATGCATAGCTGTCAACGTTTCTCTTTTTTTAAGGGAAATTCCCTTATTCCAAATAGGATTCCTCGCAAGAAAATGGAAAAGTTGACAGCTATGCATCCATGACAAATGTCCACCCAACCTCTGCTTAAAAATCTCCAAGGAAGGAGAGTCCACCATCTCTCGCGGGAATCTCTTCCACAGTCAAAACAGTTCACCCTGTCAGAAAGTTCTTCCTGATGTTTAGTCGGAATCCCCTTTCTTGTACAGTGGTACCTCGGGTTACATACGCTTCAGGTTACATACACTTCAGGTTACATACTCTAACCCAGAAACAGTACCTCGGGTTAAGAACTTTGCTTCAGGATGAGAACAGAAATTGTGCAGCGGTGGCAGAGCAGCAGCAGGAGGCCCCATTTGCTAAAGTGGTGCTTCAGGTTAAGAACAGTTTCAGGTTAAGTACGGACCTCCGGAACGAATTAAGTACTTAACCTGAGGTACCACTGTAACTTGTAAGCCACCGGTTCGGGTCTTAGGAGAAAACAAGCTTGTTCCATCCTCCATCTGACAGCCCCTTGGACGCTGTATTTGAGGAATCATTTGCATGGCAGGGGGCTAGCTTCTCCTTTTATTAATCTAGGGACGCGGGTGGCGCTGTGGTCTAAACCACTGAGCCTCTTGGGCCTGCAGATCAGAAGGTCGGCGGTTCAAATCCCCGCGACGAGGTGAGCTCCCATTGCTAGGTCCCAGCTCCTGCCAACCTAGCAATTCGAAAGCATGCCAGTGCAAGTAGATAAATAGGTACCGCTGCAGCAGCGTTTCCATGCGCTCTGGCTTCCATCATGTGTTCCATTGCGCCGGAAGTGGTTTAGTCATGCTGGACACATGACCTGGAAAGCTGTCTGTGGACAAACGCCGGCTCCCTCGGCCTGAAAGCGATATGAGCACCGCAACCCCATAGTCGCCTTTGACTGGACTTAACAATCCAGGGGTCCTTTACCATTACCTTTTTCAATCTCTTGTGTTTAAAAAAGCATACCCAAAGGAAGATTCCTTTCTGCCATTACAGTTGTCAAGGTGTATTATTTTAAAAATATTCCATCTCTTATAGCATCTCAAAAAAATATAATCCACAGAATCCCGTAGTTCTCATGCTCGGCTGAAAGAAATATCAAGTAAATGCAATTGTATTTCCCTTATACTGAAGCCTTGTAACCCTTGCTTTTTATTTCCTCCGCTCCCCCTGTTGTCCAACCCACCAGTTAACATTGCAGGGTAACCTGAGCAAAAGAGAAGTCCCTTGTCCCCAATGAGCTTACAATCTGAAGTTCCGTCTACACAGTTATCGCCACAAACCTCAAATTTAGGCCTTTTAATTTCTGCTATTTTAACACACTACCCCTTACTTTCTGCTGCATACAGACACCCTTATTCTTTTGAAATAAAGGTCTCTAGATGTTTTCGGAGCCAACATTTGCTTCATTTGTGTTCTTTATAGTACCTAAAAAAACACACAACCTCATCTCTTTGAAAATTGCATTCTACACATCTAAATATATGTATGGAAATGCTTCACGTGGACAGGATGAGAGTTGGAAAGGAAACTGGAATTCTAGGCTGGGAAATGATGGCCTTACCAGACAAGATGATGGATCCTGGCCGCAAACAAAACTGAATGAAAGCAAGATCTAACCTGAATGAATTGGTGCATTTCCCCCTTCAATTTAGACAAATCCAGTCCCTCAAAAAAAGGAGTACTTTTTCACTATCTCTCTCCTCCAGCTTTAATCAGTTTTTCCAAGGCAAGAGGAGGGAGATTCAGGTTTCTACATCCTCCCCTTTTCCTCCTTCCTCCATGTATCAAATGATGGATTCCCCTCTTGGCTGCTAACTAGATCAACATGTTGGATCCGAAGAGAAAGGAAGAGTGCCACATTCTCTGCTGCTAGCCATCCTTTTAGACTGGCAAAAAAACCCTATTGGGCTCTTTTCTGCTGAGAGCTTCCAATCAGCCTCCATTTGGCCAGAAGACAGGACTGCAGTAAATAGGGAATAAATTATGCAATTCAGCCGCCACAAAGTGCAACTAGGGAAGGGGGGGGTTGACATTAAACACTGCGATTAGCACCCATTGCCTCTCTAGCCCCCTTTCCCGACCACCCTCGAGGGGAAAAAATGAAGCCGTCGATAAAGGAACTCATACAAGTGGCTTCCCAAAATGCATTCTGCACCACTGTGCACAGAATCCAAACCCACAAGTCCTGCAGCCTCTGTAACAGGTATTTGTAATGCAAAATGTAATAAAACCCAGAAAACTGAATCCGTATATCCATGCATAGACAACTAGATTCCTCCCCTAACTGCAAGACCCACGCAGGATGGCTACAGTAGTTCCCACTTTCAACATTACTCTTACAAAGTTTGAAGGGGACGTTTGTCTACATTTTTATTCCATGTCCATTATCCTTCCACGTTTGCCCATCTTTTAAACCGTGTTGCCAGCCTTAGGAGGACACAGAACCTTCTCCAATACTTTGAGAAAAAGATCTGCTCTGCCTCCATTTACACACATCCCAAACCAAGAAATCCGTGTTCCAGTATAAGAAAACGTAGGAGACTTCCTTGCGTAACTTTCTCAAATCCATTCCTAAAACTACACGCACAGCTTGCGACGGGGGGGGGGGGTTAGGTCTGTGGAAAATGAGCTCAGCATTGGCATCAGAACAATACTTTCCCATAGAAACAGAGGCATATATTTAATTCTTAGTAACTCCACTCAAGTTTCACCTTCCATTTCCTCCAGATAATTTTTTTTTTTTTAATACAAAGTTTGGCTTAAATTTGCAAGGTAAATTGTCTTGCAGATTTGCATTTCTCCTTTTTTGGAAAAAGAAAAAAAGAAAATATACAGCAGCTAAATGCATAAGCCCTTCAAAAGCCTTTATCTGCCCTGACTGTGCAAAAGGTAAAAAAAAAAAAAAAGAGCTCTGTAATCCCAGCAGAAGAATGCAAATAACGTCAATGCACAGCTGAACTGCAAGCCCTGCCTTACAGGAACTGTGTTGCCTGTGTGTATGTGCGTGAGTGTGTGCGCGCGCCAGTGTGTGTCTGCAAGGAGAGGAAAAAAAGGTACATTCTAAACAGGAAATGCAACTGAGAGCTATTCAAAGCCTCAAACTTCAAAATGCAATTGCATCCCCAAAATTGCATGCATGCAATTCCATAATGCATGGACGACTTTTTGCATATCTGCAAGGAACGCAAGTCGGAGCCTTACCTCTCGGCTGAGACATTTTCCCCTCTGCTTTGATGGGGGAGGGGAACACAAAAGACTTTGCCTTCTCTCTTCAGTAGCTAGTTTTGCAACAAAGATGAAAACTGCAAGCGCTCAGTCTTCATGCAACTGGAGTTTTTCTGACTCCCTGCAGCAGATCTCCTTGCAGAGGAAGGAACTGCAATTGCACACCTTGCAAAACAGATTGCAAAGTGGGTTTTCACCCCCTATTGCAATGGTAAGGAAGGCTCTGCTGCACCTACATGATGGGCCAGGACTGGCAGCTAAAAGCTCCAAACTTGGATCCGAGTGCCTTAGTGCGCAGACGTCCTTTCTACGAGCAGCGCGTTGGTTTGTGGGTAATGTAGTTCATCCGGACAGCCCATTGAGAGCTTCTTTAAGGAGACTCCGTTGTCTTCATGCTCGAGGAGGGAGGTGGGTGGGATTAAGATACACGGAGCCATCTACTTGGAGGCGACTGCTGTGCAGCGGGGGCGCACAGATCCCACTGGAAAATGTAAGCAGGAAATGGAAACGGCCGCGCACAGTCTTCTGCTATGTAATCGGAAAGCTGCAGAGAAGCATTGCCTAGCAAAGCGAGCATGCAACCACGTTGCGAGACTTCGTGTCTATCCAATGGCAGTTTCATAACATAGGAATTGCCGTACTGCAGTCTAGCAGTCTGCCTCGAACAGTGGCGACCCCTCGCCTCGCATGGTTGTACATATACCAGGGAATGCTCAGCCTCTCGGAAGAATATTGTCACTATACAGAAATATCAGCATGACTAGCCATTGAGCATCTTCTGAATTAATTTGCCTTAAGCTTTTAGTCTAAACACATACATGCAAGCAAGACACACTGCCCAAGATAAACAGTGGTGTTTCCCTCAATAAAGACTTTCTTGCCATCTAAATGGAGGCACTCCGTATTGTTTGGTGACAATATTTTGAAAATGCAGGTTGTTTTGCGTTCAATTACAGGTTACAGTGGTACCTCGGGTTACATACGCTTCAGGTTACAGACTCCGCTAACCCAGAAATAGTACCTCAGGTGAAGAACTTTGCTTCAGGATGAGAACAGAAATCTTGCTCCAGTGGCGCGGCGGCAGCAGGAGGCCCCATTAGCTAAAGTGGTGCTTCAGGTTAATAACAGTTTCAGGTTAAGAACGGACCTCCGGAACGAATTAAGTACTTAACCCGAGGTACCACTGTACTTTTAAAAGACTGGCGGACGAACCAGGATTTCTCCGGATCAACAAATCTCCGGTCTTTTAATTTCTACTTCGCTGCTATTAAAAATATTGTGATTATGATTTTAAGTATTGCCCCGTGCCATGCATTTCAAACACATTGTAGGGATTGGACTAAATGGCCCTCGTGGTCCCTTCCAAGTCTACCGTTCTATGGATCACAAGAACTGATCGCAACGCTACAGCTCCCAACATCCTCAACAAACTACAGTTCCCGGGTTCTTTGGAGGAAGTCATTTGCTCGAAATCTATGGTGTGCATGTGAGCTCAGTCACATGTATAGTTCTCATCCCAGGACCTGACTAAAGCTCAGGGATAAGAGTCCAGGGGGTAGGAGCTAGTGCACTCAGTGCCACACCCTAGTGATACAGAGGTGGGGGCCTGCAGGGAGGGCGCTGAGCACAGCTGTCACGAATTGCTGCCCACAGGTAGAATTCGTGCACCCAGGGACAGAGCCAAACAATAAACTGAAAAGCCCAGTGCCAAAAGAGCAGAGCCTGTGTAGAACAATTAGTTGTGCTTGCCAGTCTCCTGAAACTGAGCAATGCAACCATACTCATAATACCAGAGACCAGTGCATAATTCAGACTCCCTAATAGGTAAAGGTAAAGGAACCCATAGGGACACGGGTGGCGCTGTGGGTAAAAGCCTCAGCGCCTAGGGCTTGCCGATCGAAAGGTCGGCGGTTCGAATCCCCGCGGCGGGGTGCGCTCCCGTTGCTAGGTCCCAGCGCCTGCCAACCTAGCAGTTCGAAAGCACTCCCGGGTGCAAGTAGATAAATAGGGACCGCTTACTGGTGGGAAGGTAAACGGCGTTTCCGTGTGCTGCGCTGGCTCGCCAGATGCAGCTTTGTCACGCTGGCCACATGACCCGGAAGTGTCTCCGGACAGCGCTGGCCCTCGGCCTCTTAAGTGAGATGGGTGCACAACCCTAGAGTCTGTCAAGACTGGCCCGTACGGGCAGGGGTACCTTTACCTTTTTAAAGGAATCCATGGCGGTTAAGTCTAGTCAAAAGCGACTATGGGGTTGTGGTGCTCATCTCGCTTTCAGGCCGAGGGAACCAGCGTTTGTCTGCAGACAGCTTTCCGGGTCATGTGACCAGCATGACTAAACCGCTTCTGGTGCAACGGGACACAGTCATGGAAGCCAGAGCGCACAGAAACACCATTTACCTTCCCACCACATTATCCCACCTATTTATCTACTTGCACTGGTGTGCTTTTGAACTGCTAGGTTGGCAGGAGCTGGGACAGAGCAAGGGGAGCTCACCCCGCCGTGGAGTTTACCTTTACTCCCTAATGAATCACCAGCACAATACAGAAACTGCATTCATAAGCAGGGAAACCAGCTGCAACCTACATCTCACATTTTGCTCACATATATGCATCGCGTAATTAAGAAATTAATTTTTATTTACAAGACATTTCAGATAACAGCAGGTCCAAGAGGACAGTCGGTGAATTTATGCCTGTTCTGAAGGTCAGTCGGTGAATTTATGGCAGCCAAGTCGAACCACACCTAAGACAGATCACTCAAGGAAGTGAGCCAAACCACAGAGGACAAATGAGGCTACAGATTCACAGAGCGAACTGAAGACCATCACACAGCAGATCACTCACGGCTGAGTGAGCCATCTTCACCACAGACTACAGTCGAGTCACAACGTAGCATTCAAGGAATGAAGTATCTATAAAACTTTTGCAAGTAGCACACTTCCTCCCATACACTCGCTTAAAACAAACCTTCTCTTTCACACACATACACAGTCTCTCTTTCTCTTAACACACAAAAAACAAATACTCTCACTTTCTCACACATATGGCTTCTTGCTTGTCCTGTGGGTTTGTGCTTCTAGAGGAGGAGACACAATCAACTCTGTAGGACTCTCGCTTGCCTTCTTCCAATGTTTATGTTGTACTGAACTCCATTGACTGGGAAGCTGAAGGCAAAAATGGGTCTTCATAGATTAGGTTAGTCAAGTGTCCTGAACCCCCGGCCTACCTCGAAGGAAGTCAGTATGCCAAGTCCAAAACTCGAAAGTCCAGGGGTCAGTCCACACAACCGATGTTCAAAGCTCCGGAAACAGAGTCCAACGCCAACCCAATTAGCCAAGTCTGAAGTCCAGCAGTCCGGATACAGTCCAGAGTCAAACCCGAAACACAGTCCCATGGCGGTCCAGGAACATCCAAGCCAAGGTCCATCAACATGGGCAGATGAGCAGGCACAGCCCCTCTTTTGTACAGTGGTACCTCAGGTTACAGACACTTCAGGTTACAGACTCCGCTAACCCAGAAATAGCACCTTGGGTTAAGAACTTTACCTCAGAATGAGAACAGAAATCGCGTGGCAGCGGCACGGCGGCAGCAGGAGGCCCCATTAGCTAAAGTGGTACCTCAGGTTAAGAACAGTTTCAGGTTAAGAATGGACCTTCAGAACGAATTAAGTTCTTAACCCGAGGTACCACTGTATCTTACAGCATCTGGGCTTGTTGAGCCATGTGACCCTCACCTGCTCCAAGCCTACAGCTGAGACATCACACACCTCATCCCAGAGCTAGCAAGCCCCACCTGGCCACCTAGGGAGCTGGGCTATGGGCCCTTGCCTGCCTCAGCCTCCTAGAGTGCCCCTCCCACTGCTCCCTATGCCTCAGATCCCGCTGTGTTCGTGGAGACAGAGGCCACTCTGGCAATGGGTCCTGCCTCTCTGGTACCTGTGCGTTGACTCCCATCACCTCGTCATCCTCCGTCACCCTCTGAGTACTTCCTCATCCCCAGCTTGTCCCCAGTGTGCCCCGTCTTTGCTACACCCCTCGCAAGGATCCTCTTCCCTCCTTTTCCTTCCCCTGTTGTTCTGCTACTTCATGACACCAAGCCAGAAAGAAGAAGAAGAGTTTGGATTTGATATCCCGCTTTATCACTACCCGAAGGAGTCTCAAAGCGGCTAACATTCTCCTTTCCCTTCCTCCCCCACAACAAACACTCTGTGAGGTGAGTGAGGCTGAGAGACTTCAGAGAAGTGTGACTGGTCCAAGGTCACCCAGCAGCTGCATGTGGAGGAGCGGAGACGCCAACCCGGTTCACCAGATTACGAGTCCACCGCTCTTAACCACTACACCACACCGGTTGTACCTTCTAATAAAATGTTTGAAGCTGCATTAAAAATCTAGGTCTCTTTTTCTGAGAATCTTTCCTAAGGGTGAACATGCTCCGAGTGTCCATCCTTATGTAGTTGAAGTGGTATTATCATCATCATCATCATCTTCATCATCATTATCATTTTATACCCCTCCCAATCACTCTGGGCGCCTCCCAACCGAATATTAAAACATGATTAAACACCAAATATTAAAAACTTCCATAAACATCATGCAAAAGGAGGAGGTATCAGCAGCTGTGGTGCAACTCCAGAATTTTTCTTAAAAAATATTTTTAAAGGTAGCTTAAATATATATATATAAAAGGAAGACTGAAAATCAGGCCGGACACTTAAGTGTTTGAAGCAGGAAATAGCATTTAAATGAGAAGGGTGCATGGTGCTGCTAATTCAATTTGTGAGCTCCAAATAGGAAACAAAGTCCAATTAGTTTTGAAGTCTTAAACCTGAAGGACTGCTTGGCCCAGGTTCTAAGATCAGTTGAGAGCCTACTGTCTGTCCATAAGAGATGTTAGGCTGAGAGGATCCAGGAACAGGGCCTATTCAGTGGTGGCCTTTCACTTCTGGAATGCCCTCCCGAATTATGTTGGTATGGTCCAATCCCTGTGGCTTTTTCAGAAAACCCTTACGAGGTTTTCATTTCACTCTGCTTTCTATTAATCTCCATCTAAGTGAAGCTGTCCTGCTTAATTTAAAGGGTGCAGCACAGATATGAATCTGATTAATGTTGATATTGTTGTTCTTGTTTATAATTATTCAGGACTCCTTGTGAGGACAAAGTGGTTGGAAAGGCGGTTGTGTTTTGTTTTTTTAATTAATAAAAATAAATGTGAACTTTATGGCAGAGTTGTACATACATAAAAGCCGTCTGGAAAGATTGTGTTACCACAGAAATATATTGCAGGTTATGAACTGACCTATGCACTCCA